TCTTCTAGTCCAGCCCCCTAATTAAGCAGGAGATCCCAGACCATCCCAGACCAATGGCTGTCCAATCTCTTCTTTAAAGACTTCATTGTTGGAGCAACCACAACTTCTGGTGGCAAGCTGTTCCACGGGTTAATTGTTCTCACAGTTAGAAAATTTCTCCTTAGTTCTAGGTTGTTTCTCTCCTTGATTAGTTTTCATCCGTTGCTTCTTGTCCTGCTTTCAGGTGCTTTGGAGAATAAATCGACTCCCTCCTCTTCTTTGCGGCAGCCCCTCAAATATTGGGAGACTGGTATATCATCCTTAGTCCTTCTTTTCTCTAGACTAGCCATGCCCAGTTCCTGCAACCGTTCTTCATATATTTTAACCTCCAGGCCTTTAATCGTCTTATTGCTCTTCTTTGCACTTTTTCCTAAGTCTCAACATCTTTTTTGTAATTGGTGACCAAAACTGGATGCAGGTGGAGAGCCCACAATTTTGAGAGGTAGACTTTCCACTGACATAAAGATCTTATGGTTGAGACGGTTTTCTTTACAAATATATAAAAATCTAGGTGGCAACGATTTTCTGCTGTTTTTTCTAGTCTCGGTGTCAGGTTTCGAGGTCGTCTCAAATAAATTGCATTTCAAACAAAGTCTTTGAAGGAAAACTCCTATTTATTAAGCACGACATTCTAAAATCCGACTCCATCGAAGCCAACACTGACTTCCAGACCCAAAACCCTCCCTTTCCGTTCCCCACTCCCCTGCACTCATTGGCCATCTTCCAAGTCATTCTACCCCTAATCTACTGCTCCAGCTCAAAGGAATTTCCCCCCTCCCATCCCATCTCCTAGGGGATATTATCTCCAGGGAAAATAAGTAGGTGAAAAGTCAAACGTCCCTTTCCAGACGCCTCCCTTCTCCTTCTTATGTCAGCACTAGAGTAAATGCAGCTTGAAGTTGACTGACACTCGGGTTTGTGTCCACAGAAAAAAAATTCTAAACATAAACAACTTTTATGAACCCTGACCTGATATCACTTAGGTATGAGCCAGCAGTGTGCAGCAGCAGCCAAAAAAGCCAATGCAATCCTAGGCTGCATTCACAGCGGGATAGAATCAAGACCACGTGAAGTGTTAGTACCACTTTGTAATGCCTTGGTAAGGCCACACTTGGAATCCCGCATCCAGTTTATAAATATATACAATATAAAAAAGATGTAGAGACTCTGGAAAGAGTACAGAGAAAGAACAACAAAGAGGATTCTGGTGGCGCAGTGGTTCGAATGCAGTATTGCAGGCTAACTCTGCTCACATTGTCAGGAGTTCGATTCCTTCGATTCTAACCGGCTCAAGTTTGATTCGGCCTTCCATCCTTCTGAGGTCGATAAAATGAGGACCCAGATTGTTGGGGGGAATATATTGACTGTGTAAACTGCTTAAAGAGGGCTGTGAAAGCACTATGAAGCAGTATATAAGTCTGTGTGCTATTGCTGTTACAGGACTCGAGGCTAAAACATATGAAGAAGAATTGCAGGAATTGTGTGTGTCTATTTTAACGAAAAGGAGGACTAGGGGAGACATGATAGCAGTCTTCCAATATCTAAGGGGCTGCCACATAGAAGAGGGGTTGACCTATCCTCCGAGGCATCCGAAGGCAGGATAAGAACCTATATAATGAAAAGTGGACTGGAGTGAAATGAAATGGAATAATACCATATAGAATAGAATAGAATAGAATAGAATAGAATAGAATAGAATAGAATAGAATAGAATAGAATAGAATAGAATAGAATAGAATAGAATATTCTACATAGTCTAGAATATTCTGGTCGTTTGCATTCTTTTTAGAGTCATTGAGGCTACTTGGGAGAATTATCTGCTGTAGTAGTGCAAGTGGTTTTATCCACACCCATTTGCACTACTCAGGTGACCCTGAGGACACAGACAAATATCCAGGTGGCCTCAAATGACCAGCTTTTGTCTGCAAGGAGTATCAATCCTTCCCTTCGCCACCATCCAGTCAGAGCTGAAGAAGCTTCCTGGTGTAGGAAGTTGGCACCCCACCCCTTTCCTGGAAGAATGAAATATTTTAGGAAATATTAAAAAGGCAGAATGTTATGTTTCCCTGGTTGAGAAATGGAGAAACATGTTTTAAAGACAAAGCAACTCCCCCCCCCCTTCCTGCCTCCCCCCTTGGTTAATGGACCAGAGGCAGAAACTCAATCTTTGATAATAGGATCTGCATCTGCAACACAATAGCAACAGAAACTAACACAATGGGACCCATCTAGCAACAGAAACTCACCACATGGCAACTGGGAAGATTACATCAGCCAGCAAGGCTAGCTAAGACCCCCGCCCCCTGGGAGTCTGACAACCAATCAGGATACTCTTTTTGGGGCCCCAGGAAGTTCAAAGCCAGAGAGAGCATAAAACCCGGGAATCGTTGTATCTAGCCCCTTTTCTGTTCAGGAACTCAAGCCATGTGATCCTGTCCACCATTAAATCTAGGAGCCTTGGTAGTACAGTGGTCTAAAGCACTCTGTTATTAAGACCAGCTGCCTGCAATTACTGCAGGTTTGAATCTCGCCAGGCTCAAGGTTAACTCAGCCTTCCATCCTTTCTAAGGTAGGTAAATTGAGGACCCAGTTGTGGGGGCAATAAGCTGACTTTGTATAAATATACAAAAAGGATGAAGGCTATTGCTTAGCACATTGTAAGCTGCCCTGAGTCTCCGGAGAAGGGCGGCATATAAATTAAAAAAAAAAAAAATCATCTTTCCAAGCAGTCTCCATGTTTCCAGTGTCTTTTTCCCCACTTGGAGCTGAACCCAGAAGGATATTTCTTCCTACACTGGATAAGAAGCAAAAGGTCTTTAAAGCAAAAAGAAGAAAGTCCAGTTGTCTCTTGGAAAAAGAAATCACCTTCGGGACAGCCATGACCTGGATGACTGAGAATCTCTACAGCAGTGTTTCTCAACCTTGGTAGCTTGAAGATGGGTGGACTTCAACTCCCAGAATCCCCCAGCCAGGGGATTCTGGGAGTTGAAGTCCCCCATCTTCAAGCTACCAAGGTTGAGAAACACTGCTCTACAGAATTCCAGCTAGGAAGGTTAAAGGTGGGGGATCACATGACCCCAGGACAGTGCAACTGTCATAACTACATGCCCCTCTGCCTGAATTTTTTAATTACATGACAGTGAGAATGTTGCAAAAAAACCCAAACCCGCTGGCCCTAAGTCACATTTTTCAGTGCTTGCCCCTGGGCCACTAAACCGGATGGTCGTTACGTCAAGGACCGGCCACCAGAGGTGCTCACAGTTGCCTGCCTCTTTCCTTCATTCCCCGCGAGCGGCTTTCCCCTCACTCGAAAAACTCCCACGCCGACTTATTTTATCAATGGTTAGATAAAAAAATATGGAAACGAAAGAAGATGCGAGATTTTTATAATACAAGAATTGTAAAATTATATAAAATATAACATAAAGATGCATTATTGTGGAATTGGGATGTAGAAACACCCAGGAGCATAGAAGAGTTCAGAGGCAGATGCATGAATAAATGTCTTAAACGTATTTATTCGTATAATAAATCATATTAACTATGTACAACAGAGATCAAGTCTCATGAGGAACAAACATGAAAAGAAGAGATGGAGAGAGCAAGGTGGAAAAGGTTGGGGGGGTTATACTCAGGGTAAGCCCCTCCTTTCCACATAGGGGTGGAAACACTCTCTGCCTCCACTGGTGTCTAGATGACACATGTGCCAATGGCTTGCAAATACTTGACAGTTATTATTGGATTGATTTAGTGATGAAGTGAATGTTAGAATATAAATTAACTCAAATCTTAGAATATTTTGTACAAAATGAGGGAAGAACAGCTATAAATCCAGCAAGGAGCCTGGATAGCTCAACAGACTAAAAAGCCTGTTATTAACATTCAGCTGTCTGCAATTACTGCAAGTTCAATCTCACCAGGCTCAAGGTTGACTCAGTCTTCCATCCTTCCTAAGGTAGGTAAATTGAGGACCCGGTTTGTGGGGGCAATAAGCTGACTTTGTATAAAATATACAAAAGTATGAAGGCTATTGCTTAACGCATTGTAAGCCGCCCTGAGTCTCCGGAGAAGGGCGACATATAAATCTAATAAAAATAAATAAATAAATAAATAAATAAATAAATAAATAAATAATCAATGAGGACAATAATATATAGATATATATATTAGATCAATAAGAATTTAGGTAAACTGTAAACTATGAATATGATGAAGATGCACAAAAGACTTGTAACCAACCGACACACTGTGTGTAATTGAAGATGGTTTTATGTTTTTATGTATGTTTGTTTACAAATAAAAAAGAAAAATTTCAAAAAAAAAGAAAAAGAAAAACTCCCACGCCAAGACCACGCACCGTATTGGCACGTAGGACACGCGTGCCTCGTATCTATCCCGGGCTCTCAAGCCACGTTAGAGATGCTAACCTTCGCCTAAGCCAGATGCAAAGCCAGATTTCCCCAACCGGGATCAGCCGAGCCAGAGCCCCCCCCACTCCAAGGCACCCGGGACCCCCCTCCCCAAAAGGCGCCCGCGAGCGCCCGGTTGCAAAAGCAAAAGCTGCGCCCTGCGCTCCTCGTGCAGCCCGGCCCCGGCCCCGCCCACTCCGCCTGCCGCCGCATCACGTGATCAGCCCGCAGCCGGACTCGCTCTGTCTGGCAGGCGGCGGCGAAGCAAGGAAAGGGGCGTGGCCAGGGACCTCTCTCTCTCTCTCTCTCTCTCTCTCTCTCTCTCTGTCTCCCCGGCGCGCGAGTTCGGGGCGGGGCCCAAAGCAAAAAAAAAAAAAAAAAGGAGGAAGGCGCACTCCGATTGGCTGCTTCGCGCTGGCTCCGGCGCGCGCGCGTGCTCTCACCCCCCACCCCGCGCGGTGGAACGCCTTTGCCTTGCGCGCACGCGCACGCGCTCCTTTTCTCTCTTTCTCTCTCTCTTTTTTTTTTCCTCCTCTCGCTCTCGCTCTCTTTCCCCCCTCCCACCTTCCGCCCGGGCTTTGCACGAGGGAGGCGCGCGGCTTTTGCGCTGCTCCGGATTTGCAGCAAAAAAAAAAAATTAATAATAATAATAATAATTAAAAAAAAACCAATACGGGTAAGGAGCTCGTGGGGAAAGGCGCGCGCGGGGGGGGGTTTGCATCCCACTCGCCCTGCTCCACTCCCACGCGTGGAGGGAGGGGCACCCCGGCTTTTTTTTTTTTTTTTCCCCCTTTTCCCACCCCCGGAGAAGCGTGCATGGCTCGGCTGGCCTTGCACTGCTGCAAGGAGGGTGGTGGTGGTGGTGGGGGGGCTGGTGCAAAGGGGGCACGTGCAAGGCCGGGAAGGAAGGAAGGCTGGGTGGGTGGGTCGGTTGCAAGAATACCGGGTGGTGATGGTGGTGGGGGGGGGGAGTTTTTTCTGGATTTCTTGCAATGCATCGGGGCCTCGCCCTGCCTTCTGCGGGGTCCGCGATCCTGGGGAATTTGCAAGCGGGGCGGGGCAGCCTTGCGCGGTTGCAAAAAAATAATAATATTTTTTTTTTTAAAAAAAATCGCTTCCCCACCCCCGCCAAACCTGATTGCACCCGAAAGGGCGCCTAAACCCCGGATTTACTCATTTATTTCTTCATTTTCTGCATTGCACGCGCGCCCGGTTGCTGGTTTTGCAATTTCTGCGGACTTGATCCTGGAGCAGCCCTCCCGGGTGGGAAGGAAAAGAAGGCGAGACCCCGAACCCGGGGTGGGTGGGTGGGGGGCAGCAATGCCGGATTTGCAGGGTCTGAATTGTTTGCACGTGGTGGAAAACCGCCCCCCCCCCCTCGTCCCCGTGTCTTGCAAAGAACCCCAATCCCAAAGCCCATCAGGCTGAGCAGCAAGCGCGATTAAGAGGGGTTTTTTTTTCTCTCCTCTGTATCCGTTGCATTCAGACGAGACGGGAAAGCTGGAATGATCCGAATCGTGGTTTATTATTTTGCATGGACCTCTTTCTTTCTCTCTCTCTCTCCTTCCTTCCTTTCCCTATCCTTCATTTCTTCGTCCTTCCTCTGCCTTCCTTCCTACCTACCTGCCTTCCTTATCCTTCCTTCCTTCCTTCCCCCTGATAATTTCTTCCTTCCCATATACTTCCATCCTTCTTTCCCATATACTTCCTTCCTTTACCTAGCCTTCATTTCTTCTTTCCTTCCTTATTTTTCCTTCCTTCCTCCTTTCTTCCCTCCTTCCTTCCTTTCCCTATCATTCATTTCTTCCTTCCTTCCTTTCCATATACTTCCTTCCTTTCCCTATCCTTCATTTCTTCGTCCTTCCTCTATCCTTCCTTCCTTCCTACCTGCCTTCCTTATCCTTCCTTCCTCCTTCCTTTCCTCCGTCCCGATAATTACTTCCTTCCCATATACTTCCTTTACCTATCCTTCCTTTCTTCCTTCCTTTCTTATTTTCCTTCCTCCTTTCTTCCCTCCTTCCTTCCTTTCCCTATCATTCATTTCTTTCTTACTTCCTTTCCATATACTTCCTTTCCCTATCCTTCATTTCTTCGTCCTTCCTCTATCCTCCTTCCTTTCTTCCTCCTTCTTCCTTTCCTCCCTCCCTCCTGATAATTACTTCCTTCCCATATCTTCCTTCCTTCTTTCCCATATACTTCCTTCCTTTACCTATCCTTCATTTCTTCTTTCCTTCCTTATTTTTCCTTCCTTCCTCCTTTCTTCCCTCTTCTTCCTTCTTCCTTTCCCCATCATCCTTCCTTCCTTCCTTCCTTTCCATATACTTCCTTCCTTTCCCTAGCCTTCATTTCTTCGTCCTTCCTCTATCCTCCTTCGTTTCTTCTTTCTCCTTTCCTTCCATCCCTCCTCCCTCCTATAATTAGTTCCTTCCCATATCTTCCTTCCTTCTTTCCCATATACTTACTTCCTTTCCCTATCCTTCATTTCTTCATCCTTCCTCTATCCTTCCTTCCTTCCTACCATCCTTTCTTTCTTCCTCCTTCCTTCCCTCCCTCCCTCCCTCCCTGAGTTTTAAATTTGGAATTCTTAAATTTTTGGGTTTTTTAGTTAATTGGCCTTAAATGTAATACTTTTAATAATTTTTTAAATTTAAATTGTGATATTTGTATTGTGTTTTTACCTGGCTGTACACCGCCCCGAGTCCTTCGGGAGAGGGGCGGTATAGAAATAAAATTATCCTTATCCTTATCCTGATAATTACTTCCTTCCCAGATCTTCCTTCCTTCTTTCCCATATACTTCCTTCCTTGACCTATCCTTCATTTTTTCCTTCCTTCCTTATTTTTCCTTTCTTCCTCTTTCCTTCCCTCCCATATTCTTCCTTTCCCTATCATTCCTTCCTTCCTTCCTTCCTTCCTTCCTTGGCTTGCGCTGGGAACCTTGACCACCGACTCAACTCCTGGGGGTGGGGTGGGGGGTTCGACGAGACGTGGCAGGGAACAAACCACCTTTAAGGCCACCCATTACGTGTCAAATGTTCTCCGAAACCAGGGAAAATGGCCTGATGAAGGGATTGGATGCTTGATTCTAAATGAGTGAGGGGTGCACTTTATTGTTGGGAAAAGAAGCTGCTTGGGGGGGGGTTTCCTGTTTCTTGAGGTTGGGTCTAGATGGAGCAGGAAAGAGATCAATCAATCAGAATAGAACTGGGGAGGGACTTTGGAGGTCTTATAGTCCAACCCCCTGCTCAGGCAGGAGACCCTATAATGTTTCAGACAAGTGACTCTCCAGTTTCATCTTAAAAACATCCAGTGATGGAGCGCCCATAACTTCTGGTGGCAAGCTGTTCCACTGGTTAATTGTCATCACTGTTAGAAAGTTTATCCTTAATTCTAGGTTGCTTCTCTACTTGATTGTCCCACAGGTGTTTTTTCAAGGGGCCACTGGGCTTTCTGGTTTTTTCACTGCTTCTTGGATGAGCTGAAGAAGCTTCTTGGATGAGCTGAAGAAGCTTCTTGGATGAGAAGCGAAAAGTCTTCAAAGAAAAACCAGAAAGTCCAGTGGCGTCTTGGAAAAAGCACCTTTGGGACAACCATGACCTGGATGACGGAGAATCTCCATAGACATCTCTCCTTGTTAGTTTCCACCCATTGTTTCATGTCTTGCCTTCTGGTGCTTTGGAAAATAAGTTGACTCCCTCTTCTTTGTGGCAGCCCCTCCAGTGCTGGAATATTGCAATTCATTCATTCATTCATTCATTCATTCATTCATTAATAATAGAGCTAGAAGGGTCCTTAGAGGTCTTCTAGTCCAACCCCCTGCTGAAGCAGGATTCCCTATACGATTTGAGACAGGTGGCTCTCCAATCCTTCGTAAAAGCCTCCAGTGATGGAGCATCTATAACTTCTGGAGGCAAGTTGTTCCACAGGTTAATTGTTCTCACCGTCAGGAAATTTCTCCTTAGTTCTAGGTTGCTTCTCACCATCCATTGTTTCTTCTCTTACCCTCTGGTGCTTGGGAAAATAATTTGACCCCCCCTCCTCCTCTTTGTGGCAGCCCCTCAAATTCTGTAATACTGCTATTATGTCCCACCTAGTCCTTCTTTTCTCTAGACTAGACACACCCAAATCCTGCAACTGTTCTTCATACGTTTTTGTTTTGAGGCCCTTAATCATCTTAGTTGCTCTTCTCTGCACTTTTTCCAGTCTCAACATCTTTTTTTTTCTAATGTGATGACCAAAACTGGATGCAGTATTTCAGGTATGGCGTTACTAAGGCTTTATAAAGCAATTACTAGAACTTTACAGGATCTTAATTCTTATCTCTCTGTTTACGCAATGGCCTTTAATCATCTTAGCTGCTCTTCTTTCCACTTTTTCCAACTTCTCTCTTTTTTTTTTTTTTTTTTAATGTGCTGCACAAAAACCATGGTGGATAACAATTAATGATTTTTTTAAAAAAAATCAAAAAAAAAATCAGATTTTTTTTTATTTAAATTGGATTTTTTTGATTTTTATTGAATTTATTTTAATAAAAAACTTTTGGGGTAAAAATCTATCGTAAGATAGTTTTCTATTTAAGATACATAAGTAATTTAGTTTATTCAGCCTGAAATGGAGCTTAGTTATGTAGCAGGAGGCTGTATATTCTGCAACACTGGGACTATCGGTGAGTCAACAGCGGGTCAAAGGAGTAGCAGAGATGACAGTTGCTCTTTAAAAATTACGATTTAAATCGAGTTGATTTAAATCAAGCCTTTTTACTAGTGATTTAAATCATGATTCAAATCCACCCTGACCAAAACTGGATGCAGTATTCCAGGTGTGGCCTTACTAAGGTTTTATTGAAAACCTCAGCCATTGCAAAAGATTGATTTAGAACAGAATAGAATAACAGAGTTGGAAGGCACCTTGGAGGTCTTCTAGTCCAGTGGTCCCCAACCTTTTTATCGCCGCGGCCCGCTGAGCGCGCGCAGGGGTGGGGCCACGGCCCAGGAGCCTTTGCGCAGGCCCATTGCGCACGGCCCAGGAGCCTTTGCGCAGGCCCATTGCGCACGGCCCAGGAGCTTTTGCGCAGGCCCATTGCGCACGGCCCAGGAGCCTTTGCGCTGAAGCGTTCCTGTCCCCCGGCCGCTGCGCGGCCCGGTGCCAGGTACTCCACGGCCCGGCACCGGTCCACGGACCGGGGGTTGGGGACCACTGTTCTAGTCCAACCCCCTGCTTAGGCAGGAGACCCTACACCTGTGATGGCGAACCTATGGCATGCGTGCCACAGGTGGCACAGGAAGCCATATCTCTGGGCACACCAGCATTGCCCTAACTCAGCTCCAGCACACATCCACGTGCCGGCCAGGTGATTTTGGGGCCTTCCGGGCCCACCGGAAGTCAGGAAACGAGCTGTTTCTGGTCTCTGGGAGGGGCGGTGGGGAAGGCCATTTTTGCCCTCCCCAGGCTCCTAGAAAGCCTCTGGAGCCTGGGGAGGATGAAAAATGGGCCTTCTGGGCCCACCGGAAGTCAGGAAACGAGCTGTTTCTGGCCTCTGGGAGGGTGGGGAAGGCCATTTTTGCCCTCCCCAGGCTCCTAGAAAGCCTATGGAGCATGGGGAGGATGAAAAATAGGCCTTCTGGGCCCACTGTGCCATCCCGTGCCAAAAACAGAGGGAGCGGGGAGGGTGGGGTCT